GTCTGCCTTAAAAGTAAGCCTGCTTAATATCAACCTTATAGTATGCTACAACCTTTGCTTATGCTGCAAACTGCTTAGCAATCTATATCCCTTAACTTTATTATTAAGCTACTGAAGTCTTAAGAGCCCCTTATAGGAACACACTTTAATAGCGTTCTCATTATTATGGACTAACTTATGAAGTATGCCTACTTCATCCTATATAAAGAAGTAAGTAACGCTAGAAAATACGCCTATATATTCCTTAAATATATTATTACTAACTACAGAACACCTAAGGAAATTATATTAAATAGGGATAAGATCTTTACTTCTAAATTCTAGAAATTAATTATGTTATATCTCAGCATCAAATAATTAATATCCACTATATTTCACCTGCAGACCAACAGACAAACAGAATAAATCAACTAAATCCTCAAAACATATCTCCACGCCTATATTAATTACAACCAAGATAATTAGGTTACATTGCTACTAATAGCCTAATTCGCCTATAACAGCGCAGTAGGAGAAAGTACTAAGGAATCCCCCTTCTATCTCAACTATGGATTTGAACCAACCGCCTATAGAAACATGCGACCAGGTCTAGCCGCAGTTAAAGCTGTCGCCTCAGTATAATAAATTAAGGATACCTAAGATAGCGCATATAAAGAACTTAAATTTATACAACAGCAAATAGTATAATTCAGCAATCAACAAAGGATTAAGGGACTAACCTTAAAAGAGGGAGATAACGCCTATCTCATACAGCAAAACATTAAGACAAAACAACTAAGTAATAAACTTTAAAAAACTTATACCTTTCAAAATTTCATAAGTAATTTCACTAGTTAACTATAAACTTAAACTCCTAGAAACCATGAAGTGTCACCTAGTATTTCATATCTCACTTCTCAAACCAGCACTATATAGATTATAAATAAATAATATTATTATTATAGAAGATAATAAACCAGAGTATAAAGCTGAACGAATTATTAACTATCTTAAAGAACTAAAAGGGTATTAATACCTCATTAAATAGAAAGGATACAGATATAAAAACAATATATAGGAACTAGCTAAAAATATCACTAACGCAGCAGAAGAACTTATAATCTACTAGTAATAACATTAAGAATAAGAAGTCATATTAGCACCTATTATACTAGTCCAGAAGAACGCTAGATATAAGCAAATTAAGCACCTATATCGCTTCACTAAACCACCTACTGAGGCAGATTAACTGCACTAAGGAAAACTATTTATTCGCCTAAGAATACTAAAATATAACTAAAAACCCCCTGAGGACACTAACTAGTCACTACTAACTAGGGGACTAAGATCTATAAACTCCTCACTAACACTAAAACTTTATTAGTCCAAATTGTTCTTAACACTAAGAAACTAGAGATCACCCACTATATTACTTTTATGCGCATCTAGAGCAGGAAGGATATTATCCTCTTCTAACTCCTATATACCTTAGGAAAATGTTTCTATATAATGCTCCTTCACTTTCTTTTAAATTGCATAGATATATAATAAATAACTAACTGCTTTAGCCACTTCAGCCTAAACTTGTACTAACTTCTTATGAAGGTCTAATAAGGTATTACTAGCCTGCTCCTCCTTCTCCTCTTATTCTTTATACTAATTATTTAGCCTCTTCACTATAAAATAATTAGCTAAAAAACGTTAGCATTATACTTAATAAACCTATAACTTAATGCTATTACTAGACTATTATAAGGATGCTTTAGGTTTTTGCAACCTTAATAAGTTCTTACGCCCTCTACTATATAATATATATGCTTCACGCAGAAATAGTAAGTATAAGGTATGACGTCATTAGAACCAAAGCAATAAAAGACATCTTCACAAGTAGAACACAGAGCTGACTTAGACTAATTCAATTTTTAAATGCAACCTGATATAGTGTCAGCATTATGAGTAAATCAGGAAGCATAATTAATAGATCCCTAACCTAGGACTAACAACCTACTTATATTAGATCTTAAGGATAAGACCTTTAGAGAGGGGACCTAATGTTATAACCTATTATGCATAGATAACAGTTAACTAACCTACTTAGGCGTTAGGCAGCTAGGACAGGACATTTATACTGCAAGATTATAGGAATAACAGGGACTCACTTAGAATAGAAGAACTATAGTATAAGTCATATAATAATAAGATAAGAGATTAGATCTATACGCTAAGGATATAGAGGCTGTAATTAGTAAGAATAGATCCTATTAGGACTAGGAATAGTACCAGGAGGGTACTATTCAGAACTTATATATAGTATGACCCTGAGCCTAGCTTATGGTCAGACTTCCATAGCTCTTCAGCAATCAACTTAGTATTCATCCTCATGGATACTCTCAGCTTACCTTCACTGCGAATCACTTGTTGAGTCTAAGACTGATCACCTTGGCCTCTAAAGACCCGATCTACTACAGCCTACGAACTACGACCTACGACCACGACCCAGTGTACTGTTAGAACGTATTAATCCCCAGCTTCTGTTAGCAGACCCTACTGTCGGATAGCTGACCGTAACATATTTATTTTTAGGGATACTTTTAGCTTACTTTTACTATAAATCACTTATTAAGTCTAAAACTAATTACTTTAGCCTCTAAAGACCTAATCTACTATAGACTATAACTTATAACTATAACTATAACTTAGTGTACTATTAGATGTGTTAACCTCTAGCTTCTGTTAGTAGACCCTACTGTCAGATAGCTGACCGTAACAGTTTTGACGCGTTTGCGTTGTGGGGGGTTTTTCGTTACTGGGGGTGGGGTCTTATGCACTTCGAGAATGCTTGAGTTTCATGAGGCACCTGATCCTTAGGCTTGTAAAGCTGTCTCATGTTGCTGATACGCCGCAGTCCTTGCCAAGGACAACCCGCGTTTTCCATCGAATGCAAAGAAGCGCCGCAAGATCGGCATCTGAGCCATATCTATGAAGTCATTGTGATCCAGTCATCGCATTAAATAGCCCCCCGCCGAGCCTCACGCTACCTAGTAAGTATGTGTACGACCTGTTCCCAGTTCCAAGGGAGGTGAACACGATAAAGCAACAACTTCCCTATTTGCCCAAGAAGTAGCATCTTTCAACTTGGCACCCATCCTGTTCGATAAAAGACGTAACTGCGTCCCGTACTGAAGATAACAAGCTTCATTCACACTAAGAGCTCACAACAGACGGCATGGTAGTTGCGGACTATAGTTTTCCTGCCAGACGTACGGTATCCACAGAGGACTATACAGGTCATCGTCTCCGTCAAGCCCCTACTCCCACTACAGGCCCTGCCGTACCTTTGGAGAACGTTGCATTAGTGAAGCGGTCTGGAGATACCTGCGGATTCATATCCGATCCTTCCTTTAAAGGTTTGTATCTTCTTCTGCACGGGGACCTCACTCATTCCCACGACACTGACACTCAAATTTCGTAGATTCGCCCGTGCCGTATACATGCGGAAGCAGTGCCAGCTGTCATACGTCTGGTCCATATCTGCAATGCGGATCCTCCGCTATCACATCATGTTATAATGGCACGACGTCTATTTGTAGCAGCACATCCATGCTGGGCAATGCCGAACATTGCTGGTACAACTACTGAGCCCTTGCATGTACACTTAGACTGCACGACAATTCCTTTGGAGCACGGATTCCCAGAAGGGCTGGCTGCCTTCATGCGTCGATTACATCAAAAGAACCGCCTCAGGTGGTTTCGTCATACGTAGGGGATGTTACAGGACTGACTATGGGGTCGGCTTCAGTTATACAAACCAGGTGTTCTTGGTAGATGACCCTACCGACATCGTCAGGGTCACGGCCAGTACCTCTTCCGCTCCCGTACCATCTGAGCCTTCCAAACCCCAGCGCCTAATAACAACAATGGAGCTATCATAGGAAGAGTAGTGAGCGGTATATCAGTCATCGCCCTCTAATTACTGTGCGTGGTCATCTGGCTTATGCTACGTCGAAGGAGTCAGACTCGCGCCGGAAAATCAAGAAAACAGTCCTTTACAAGCCGACCTCCAGCGCAGCCACCCGCAAATACCGTGGCCCAGGCCCAGAAACATGGTCAACAACAGACTCAGCACACTCAAACACCTCATTTTGTGATACACGAGCTGCCGGCGAATAGTGTGGTTGAGTTGGAGTGATCAGGATGGCAGCTCATGGCTCTGACTCACCATGTATCTTTGCGGTCACGTAGTGTCACGGAAATCCATCGTCCTCCAAGCCTGACGCCACGGTTGATCGCCCCTCTAGCGTGAAAATGACATATCTACGCTGAGTTCTGCTATCCAGGCACACACCTTAAGCCAGGTGGATGAACCACTGCCTATAAGGTATCTAAGTTATTATTTCGTTTTTAATTTACCGTTATCATCTGTGTGTTCGTACTCGTCTTCATTTTCGGTGTTGCATTTGTCGTCCTCGTCGTCCTCGCTGTCCTCGTCGTCCATATTATTATTATTATCCTATCATCACTATTCGCCCAGGAGGCCAAAAGTGAGCACGCGGATAATTGTGATCGTGTGTATATGTACCATGGATTCCCCTTACAACCCTTTGAAGCGAAGCATGTCGTGGCCAGCATTTGAGTCTGGCAACTGAGGTATGCACTACGCCAAGAAATCCATACCAGGCTGCGAGATACCCCTCAACTGTTCAAGCATGCCAGGTCATGCAGAACGTCCCCGCCTTTCAAAGAGACTCAACCAATAACGTCCCTTTATCCTGTGTCTTTGCTGACATGCATGATGTTCGTGGCCAGTAGCAGCGACACTGATGCTCAGTGCAGAGATTGCGAACCAGCAGACAATCGGGTCAGGGCCTACCTATATATACTAATTCGCAGCTTGCCTACCCCAGATCAGATCTGGAAGCTTTTTCTCTCGATTCGGTCTGCCTGGCTGAAAGACAGTTCCCTGCCTGAAGCAGGTGGCGCTCGTCGAGCAAGATAACGGTCGCTTTTGACGCATCTTCGCTATGGCTACCAATTTCAGGAATTCTGGCTCAGGCAGCCAATACAGCAACACACACGGAACTCAGAACAATAACTCTGGCTCTTGGAATCAATTCAACGCAAATACCATCAATTACAGTAAGGAACCGCACACTGAGTTCTTGCCCACCACTGACGTGATTTGTGAATGTAGATGCTCAGAACCAAAGCGATTCCAAACTCCTCGCCGATTTGCGCGTCACTGATCCACGCGACGACAAAAGACGTATCGAGCGCAGAAAGGGCGGGCTCCTACGCGATTCATACTGCTGGATTCTCGACCACAAGGCCTTTGTCCGATGGCAGACCGATACGCAGAGCTCGCTTCTCTGGATAAGAGGCGACCCTGGTAAGGGCAAAACGATGCTTATTTGCAGCATCATTGACGAACTACCTGCACGCATGCCAGGATGGGAGACGATCTACTTCTTTTGCGAAGCGACAGATTCGCGTCTCAACAACGCGACAGCCGTACTGCGCAGCCTTCTGTATCTGTTACTCAGAAAGAGGCCTTCTCTTTCTAGATTCATACGCGAAGAGCATGAGCATGCGGGAAAGCGACTGTTTGAAGACGCTAACGGCTGGGACTTTTTGAGTATAACATTCAGCAACATCCTGCAAGATGGCGGCCTCGATGGCTTTATCCTTGTTATCGACGCACTAGACGAGTGTACGGCAGGCCTTGATCAGCTCCTCGACTTTATCGTTGGTTTGTTTCCGTTTCACGTTAAGGTCATCGCTTCAAGCCGTAATTGGCTAAGCATCGAAGAAACTATGGCGACTATCTCGGATCGAGCATGTATCAGTCTAGAGCTAAACCAGACGTCGGTCTCGGCAGCTGTGAACCGATACATTCGTCATCAGGTGGACAAATTAGCACGCCTCAAGAGATACGACAGTACCACCCGGGATGAGGTTTACGACTACTTGAGCTCAAAAGCAGACGATACGTTCCTTTGGGTTGCTTTGGTCACCGAACAACTCAGGAAACCCGGTGTCTCTAGACGGCATGCCCGGATGAAACTAGAAGAATTCCCTCAGCACTTAGACGCCTTGTATAACCGAATGTTGGCCAGGACTTGGGAATCGATGGATAGGGATCTTTGCAGACGAATCCTGGCGGTTGCTTCAATTGTTTGTCGGCCCGTCACCTTGCTGGAATTACTATCCCTAGCAGGGTTGACAGAGCGCCGCATTGATTTGGAGACCCTGAAAGAGATTGTTGGAGAATGTGGTTGCCTTCTGACTGTAAAAGACGACGTCGTCTATTTCGTTCATCAGTCGGCGAAAGACTTTCTGTTTCGGCACGCTCTAGCGGACACCATGCCCCTCGGTATTCATCGAGAACACAACCTCCTCTTGTCAAGATCACTAGAGGTTATGTCCAAAACCTGCCGTCGGAATATCTACAATCTCAAGGAGCCCGGGGCATCCGTTGAAAACATTCGCACTCCAGTGCCCGACCCCCTAGAACCGGCCAGATACGCATGTGTTTACTGGGCCGAGCATATTGACGACGGAGGGCACATGCCGCAACTCCAGTACCGACAAGTTTACGAGTTTCTCAAGAAACACTTCTTACATTGGGCAGAAGCCCTAAGTCTACTGCGAAGTGTGTCCGGTGGAATAACAAGCCTCCTCAAACTTACCCAGGTATTCTCCAAGATCACAAAATAAATCGAGGTTAAAGCACTAAATCTCCTCAGGCATCGGAAGAAATGTCAGAACAAAGGCTTTTTGTTCAAGACGCTGTGCGATTCATTCGATACTACCGTGTCGCGTTTGAAAATTGCCCCCTTCAACTGTACTCCTCGGCACTTGTTTTCAGTCCGAGGCAGAGCATCATACGAAATGAATTCCAAAGTCAAGTTGTGAACTGGATAACAAAGAGACCAGTGGTAGACAAGGAATGGAGTCTATGTTTGCAGACACTTGAGGGTCACAGGGGCGATGTTTACATCCTCTCCTTCTCCCCCGACGGAACGACACTGGCCTCGGCCTCGAGCGGGATGATATAACTTTGGAACATATTCACTGGCCAGTGCTTACGGACGCTTCAAGGCTCTGATTCTCCGTTCGTTTCAGTTGCCTGGTCTCTCAAAGGAGAGACTCTCGCGTCGGCCTCGCTAGATGGCCATGTCAAACTTTGGGATAAGGCAACAGGCCGACTCCTAAACAAGTTCCACGGCGATTGCTGGATGATCGATGGTGCATGTGTAGCTTTCATTGCCGGTGACCAACAAGTCGCTTTGAGATTCAAGGGAACTGTGGAGATATGGGACACAGCTACAGGCCAGCGAGTGCGACAGTTCCAACGGCACGAATCTTCCATACCGCGTGCAGTCGCCTTCTCAGCTGACGGCGCCCTCTTTGCGTCGTGGAAATAAATGGCTGTTCTTGGGTTATTTGATTTGAAAACTGGGGAATGCGTGAGGGAACTTGATCATACAAGTCCTTTTTCTGGTAACGCCATACGTCGATCAGCATCACTAGCCTTCTTGTGCGAAGGCACCCGGCTTCTAACCTTCGATCAGCATCACGGGATTGTGTTATGGGACATAAATGCAGGTCATCCCATCTTCAGAGTCTTACAAGACCAATACAAGCTGGTAAGCTACTCGCGAGATGGCCGTTTTCTTGCATTTTACTATGGTTCTGTGAAATCAGCTATCATGATCATAGATGGAGAGACTGGTAAGTTCTTGCAGAAGGTATCTACCACCTCTGTATCTGCAATGTCCTTCTCTATCGATGGCACGCTGCTCATTTCGAGCTCTTTCGACGGGATGATTAAGATCTGGGATCTTTCGGGGCTCCAAAGACACCAACTCGACAACACCAGAACGATCATTGCAAATTTACCTTCCGCAGCCACGTCGCCCAAGATCAAAACCATCGAGAAAGTATCTAGCACATGTCCTAACAGCCTAACCTTAAGCCCGTATGATGTGCTCAAAGCCAACTTCAAATGTGGGCTCTTTTCACTTGCTCATGTTCATGTACATATCTGGACTGACACCGCGTCGCAGTACACGTCATAACCGTAGACCAAGATCCTACAGATAAAAACATCGGGTTTTTTCGCAAGTCTGTTATGGCAGTCGCTTTTTCCGACGATGGAAAACGGGTTGCATCAGTGTCAGCAGATGCATGCTTCAAAATTTGGGATCTTGCCACTGGCCAGGGCCTCGAGACAAATGATATTTTTGGTATCAGAACACCGAAAGCGTCGCTGAGGTATTGCAGCAATGGCTTTCAAGTCGCAGATTGCTCTGCCGGAAAGCTTGAAGTCTGGGGTGCAGAGCCAAACGGGGGCAGGAAACCATTCGGGGTCAACAACCGTACAATCTTGTCGACTGCGCTTTCGAATGATGGAACCATACTGGCATCAAGCTCGTCAGATAAAACCATCAATCTTTGGGATTCGGCTACTCGCGACTGCAAAATGACGTTCATCGTACCTAAGATGGTTCGGTACATGAAGTTTTCGGAATCAGGGTCGCGGCTCGTCACTGATATTGGTAGCATCAACATAGAGTTCCTATCAACTACAGGCGGGGAGACGTCAAAGCAACAAACTCCTGAGATACTGAGTTCTCAAGGCTTCATGTTGTCTGTACAAGATACTGGGATATGGATACAGAAGGATTCCAAGCCCATACTCTGGGTTCCGCCAGAGTATCGATCATCGGCATTTGACGTTCGGGGTTCGGCTATAGCGCTTGGCTGTCAGTCAGGTCAAGTCTTGATAATGGAGTTCTCATCAGATCTCTCAGTCATGTAGACGGGCCTTTCTCCTCCTCAAAACTAAAATGTTCCTAGGTTGCTTTTCAATTTCACAGCGTCTAACCAGAACGCATGTTCCTTTCCATCTACGAAGTGTCTCAGCCAACACCTTACGTGGTGCGCGCAATGGACAGTGTGTCTCAGGGTAAAAGGTATCATAATCTCTATTCTAGCATGTCATACATGATCTCGTTACGGTTCCCAGACATCCAAGCTTGCGCCGGCTGTCTCTCTATATCCCAAGTCCCAAATCCAAATCGCTAAGTCGTCCCGTCCGTCGATACTCCCTGGGTATAAAACACTCGAAACTCCTAAAGGAATGTTTTCCAAGCCTAATTCCCACCCTTGAACCAAGACCATCAAAAGAACACGAGGCGAAGACCATGTAAACGGGTACTAGCCGCTCCTGGTTGACAACCCCTCACTCCATATCAGCATGATCCGCTTCATCATCCACAGCCTTTCTCCGCTGCACCCTGCTGAGCCTCGCCATGGCTCTTTGCTTAGCCTTGGCCTCCTTTCTAAGTCGAATCGCCGTCCTGACGTCGACTTTCTCTTCTCTCTCCTCTTCGATACTCTGGTACATTGTCCCGATGGCTGAAATCCTCCTGGTGCCCCGCCTGCCGAGGGCCAGGTCTGCCCGAGCAGGTAGAATATCGTAATCACCAGGCCCGTCGTCCTCTTCATCAAGTGAGAAGATGGGTGCCTCAACTCTCGGGTCCAGAGAAAATCTCCTTTGGAAACGCACTGGGCTGCCGAAGCTGTGGGACTGCCGCATGCTGGGACGCGAAGGTGATACATAACTTGGCTCCGGAACAGCAGACAGGCTGTCAAACAGGCCTGGCAGCTGCAGACCTGCTTCTCCGTACCCGCTGTCGCTGAACAGCAGCTCCTCCTCCTGAGTCGCACCAAGACCCGAGTCGCGATGGCGTGTTGTAATGAAGGAATCCGCGTCAACGTCATCGTCTGAGGAGAGGTAGTCATCAATGTTGAAACCTGCGCCTGGGGTAGCCGCGTCCACTGGCGATGGCAGCGCGCTCTCGAGAGCAGTGCAGAACGAGGTGTGGTCAGCAGTTCCACTGTGCAATGAGCTGCAGCTGTCGTTCATGAACGAAGACATGGTCGCCAGATCGACAGACGTCGTGGCTGTATGTCTAGACTGCGGTCGCGGAAATGAGCTGGTGCTTGACATGGTCGGCGTCGCAGAGGATATTGACCAGTGGCGCAAGCTACTGGTCCGGATCGGCACATGCTCGCAAATCTCATCGAGTTTGTTGTTCTTCCTTGGCGACCCGTTGCTTCTCAACCGCTCGTCTTGGCTCTCACGCCACGAGGGGCCATTTCTCATCACATCTGTCACAGATTCAAGTCAGCAAAATCTCTCCATACAATTAACACAATGGTAGAAATCGACGGTCAAACTAACGAGGTGAAGGCGCCGGTGAGGATCCATCCCCAGAATCAACAAAGCTCTCAACCTCAACCCGGCCGACCCGCCCTCTTGCGTCGTTGTCATCGTCGGGAATCACACTCCGGGACGACAACTCGCCGTTGCGGAAGGACGGCACACCTGTCGCGGACAGTGACAGAGTATGTCGTTTTGAGGGCGTTTTCTGGGTTGGGGAGGAGAAGGTGGAATTGGCTACTGACCCTCCGCGGGATGGCGGCCTCACCGCTTGATAAGTCTCGGGCTGCGCATGGCCGGAGGTCTTTGGTCGCTGCTGGACCGGCAGCGAGTAGTTGTGCTTGACCACGTAAACCGGCTTCTGCGATGTCTTTGGCGACGATGGCGATTCGGTCGGTCGTGTGCTGAAGATACCCAATTCGTTGAGTGGTGCCTCGCCACCGATCGTTGATCGCCGTTTCTGTCTCCTGGTGCTAGGCGAGACGGATGAATCGGCTATTTTGTGGACGTCAAGCGGCCCGTTCGATGGGGTAGTCGGGATGAAGGATCCAAGAGAGTAGGACCCAAGGGATTGTCTTCGTCGGCTGCGGGCCGATTCGGGTACGTCTTCCATGATCGTCTCGTGCCTCTGCGATCGATCGGGATTAAAAATTGTGGTTCGGAAGGGGATTTGGCCGACGCTCGCCGAAGTTAGAGACTTCGTTCGGCCGCCCATATCGAGTGAGTCGTGGCGTCGGGGAGGCTTGAACGGTTGGTCTTTGTCTCCAAACTGAGCCATTGAGACAGACGGTGCGGGCGCGCCATCTTGCCGATCATGAGGGCTACCGCCGTTGGTGGCATAGAATGCCTGGACCTTCGCAGACGCCAAGTCGACTCCATTTTCACCAATGTTCCTGTCAGCAACATCCTCTCCATAATCCCTAACGCCGGCCGCCTTGACCCGATTCTGGAATCCGGAAGGTTTGATCTCAGATTGGGCGTCCAAGATGTCGATGAAACCTCGGGCCATGGAGCTATTGCTCTGTATCGAGAAATGGCGGTTGTGTGCGAATGGGGCTGTTGGTGGACGGAAAGGCTCGCCTTCGAAGGGGATCGCCGGCGATTGACTTCCACGTCGCGGTGCCGGGGACCCCGTCGACGTCACAGAACCGAGACGCGGTTTCCTGAACGACAGCGGTGGGCCCTTAGAGGATTCCCTTCCTCTGCGACTCGATGGCGACGATGAACTCGGTCCGGCACCGTTCGGGGCGGAACTGGGACGTTCAACGCTGGCATCGCGGAATCGTGGTACGGGCGGAGCGAGTGCCGATGCTTCGGATCCGGCTATAAGAGAAAGATTGGTTTCGCTCATCTTGTGGTGAGACCGTTGCAGGTCCTCAAAGACGTTGGTTGGGCCATTTCCGGCGACGGGGTAGGTTCCTGAAGGTGTTAGTCGTATTCGCAAAGCGACTCAAGGTGGGATGGAATCCTACCAAGAAGTGGGGGTAGAGAGGCCGTGGTAGCATCGTAGGCTTGCGCTTTAATGTTGTTTGCTGACTTTTCCGATGATCTTTTGGACGAGAAGAACTTCAAGAGGCCCATGGTCGCAGTTTCTCGCCCGCCATGTGGCGGTTGTCTTGGGCAGACACGCCGTCTGTTTGTTGCGTAATACTATGGCTGTCGAAGATACGACGATACGACGACTAACGGTGTTGGAGCCGGGTTTTGAGAGTATCACGGCCCAGGACTCGAAGATACAAGGCTACTGTGACCACGGCAACAGTGACGAAGGCAAAAGCTGTCGGGAGAGAAGGTGTAGAGGAAGAGGATTGGAGCTGAGAGGAGGGG